CTAAAGCTAATTCGATTCTATTAAAGTTCAATTGACATCGATTCAAAATATAAATATACCAAACTAAAATATATCACTAAAATATATCATAAAAATTTTAAAAAGCCTTTAGTTCGCCGACTCCACTCCTATACACAAGAAGGAAAAAAATATCTATACATTGGACTATTTTGAAAACTTGGCTAAAAGTCATTTTTTTTGGTTAGTAGCAAAAGCTAAAAAGTTGACTTTTTTGGCTTTTTTTTCATTTGGCAAGTTGGTTTTTAGTCAATGGTGCAATTACAATTTTATCCCTCATGGGTCACAATGTGTTACACAGGTTCAGTTGTAAATATTTTAAATAAATAGGGGTAGTTTAGTCATTTTATTATGATTTGACATCATAAACAAATATTAATCAAAAAAGTCAAAAGTCACTTTTTACCAACTTCCCAAATCATTTGTCTAAAGCTAATTCGATTCTATTAAAGTTCAATTGACATCGATTCAAAATATAAACATACCAAACTAAAATATATCACTAAAATATATCATAAAAATTTTAAAAAGCCTTTAGTTCGCCGGCTCCACTCCTATACACAAGAAGGAAAAAAATATCTATACATTATGCCCATCACGTTTTATGTTATTTTTAAAAACAAAAAACCAATGTCAGCTTAAAAAAAAAGGATAAGTAAGTCAAAAAGTAAAAACGTATTTGGAAAAAACTAAAAAAACATGTATATATATATTATTATTTTTTTCATTAACAAGAAGGGGCAATTTTTTTTTTTAAAACTTGAAAAAAAATTAATTTTTTAAAATTTTACAAAAAGTCAAAAAAATTAAAAATTAATAAACAAAATCAAGGGTTAATTACATTTTTGCTCCCCCAAAGTTTTGTGTCATTTTAATTCTCAATATTTAAATTGTGTCAATTTGGTCTTTCAATATATAAAAGTATTTCAGCTTCCATTTGGCAAGTGGCTAACTTTTTGGTTTTTTTATTTTTTTAGCTATATTTTAACCTGGGCTAAAAAATTTAGTTTGGAAAGAACTTTTTAATTTTTTCATTTTTTTGTGAGAGAAGAATGTAATAATTATATATTGAATGTAATATTTTATTTTTTATAACTAAAATAACTTATTTTGTCCTTTGTGATTAAAAAATAAAAAAAAACGCAGCCTAACTCTTCCCAAACTCTTCCCAAACGGAGCCAATTTGATTTCCTATATTTATATGTAAATTGTGTTAATTTGATACTCAAAATATAAAAAAGTGTTTCAATTTAATCCCTTAATCTAACTCTCTTAATATATGCACTTTAAATATTGACAGATTATATTAAAATATTTTTTATACATTAAAAATCAGATTGACATAGTTCAGACACTAAGAGCTAAATTGAAACAGTTTAAATATAAGAAATTGAAACGATACAAAATTTGTAATTAATCCAAAAATCAAGCCCGAAATCCACTGCGATGAATCACGTTGAGTTTTTTTATTTTTTTAGCTATATTTTAACCTGGGCTAAAAAATTTAGTTTGGGAAGGACTTTTTAATTTTTTCATTTTTTTGTGAGAGAAGAATGTAATAATTATATATTGAATGTAATATTTTATTTTTTATAACTAAAATAACTTATTTTGTCCTTTGTGATTAAAAAATAAAAAAAAACGCAGCCTAACTCTTCCCAAACTCTTCCCAAACGGAGCCAATTTGATTTCCTATATTTATATGTAAATTGTGTTAATTTGATACTCAAAATATAAAAAAGTGTTTCAATTTAATCCCTTAATCTAACTCTCTTAATATATGCACTTTAAATATTGACAGATTATATTAAAATATTTTTTATACATTAAAAATCAGATTGACATAGTTCAGACACTAAGAGCTAAATTGAAACAGTTTAAATATAAGAAATTGAAACGATACAAAAATTTGTAATTAATCCAAAAATCAAGCCCGAAGTCCACTGCGATGAATCACGTTGCCTTTACTCTTTCGGGCCTATTTCAAAAATTAGTTTAGTGGAATCTTCTTTTTCTCATGTCACGTAATAATTTTATATATATTAAAATAAAAAAATTATTATATATAACGTAAGTAAATTTTGAACCCAAAACATTAAATATCAGTAAGAACATAATTATTACTTAAACAAGATACATATTGATATTAAATTCTTTATTATTTACTTTTATTATTAATTATTTAAATTGTACAAGCATCGCGTGTGCCACTCACTAATTTTAATAAAAAATAAATTTTTCATTTTACTTTTTTAGTAATAAGATCAATTCTTAAAATAATCCTAATTTAAATTTCGTTTGTCAACTATACATTTTAACTAAAATATTAAAAAAATATTATAAATTATCACATCAATTTTTTTAAATTTTTTATAAAAAATTAAAAAATTATTAAAATAAAACTGATACCTTAAACATGAGGCTCACATTCATTGCACCTTTCGGCGTTACTAAAATAATTTTTTTTCTCCTTTGTCAAAGAAAAATGCTTAGTGCTCCCACTAATTAGGTGGCAGTGGGTTTCGTTATTAATGATGTGATGTTTTGGTTTTGGAGTTGTATTTTTTTATTTTTTTTTATTTTTTTAATGCATTAATGTTAGGATAAAGATTGGTAGCTCTAAAATCCCTCCCCCTAATCCCCTAATTTCCTTTTTTGGAAACTGTTTTCTTTTTCTTTTTTCTTTTTTTTTTTTTTTTTTTACTTGAAATGGCAAATTCGGGAGATTCGGTCTCCCCTTTCGGGAGATGAAACACTGCCCTTAATGTTATTAGTGGTGATGTTTTCATTGGGATGAATCATTGTTGTTTGTCAAAATAAACGGCACGATTACGGAAATACCTTTTCTTTATCAAAATGGTGTGATAACCTCAAGTCATTATCGTCAAAATAAAATTTACTTTTTCTTGTAGCCTGACAAATCTTTTCTTCCATTTTCCAATGACCACTCTCACGCGAACCACGAGATTCCTAAACCCCCACTAGAATCCGAAAAAAAGTTTCCTTTTTTTTGACTCGTCTGTTTGTTTGCCAGGAAAATCACTATAGAACAAATGGAAAAAAAGCTCAAGAAAACGAAAATTTTATTCGATTGCCACCAGTTCAGATCTCATACTGATAAAGTTCAATTAATTTAATCAAGGAATATGAGCCCCATCTCTGACCTGACCTTTCTATATCATTTTCTAATGGTGGAAACCGATCATAACTGATTAAAAATTTCCACTTTAATGTGTATTAAAATAAATTTTTTTTATTAAGTAATCTATTCAGATCCGAAAAATTAAGTCAAATTTTCAAATCTCGTAATATGAAAATTTATTAAATCATCTAAATTAATTCTCTCTTACATATTTTTTTAATCATTTTCCAATCATATATTTTTTACACATTATTATTGAATTTAGAAAATTAGGTAAGTTTATAGATTATTTTTACTCAAGATAACATATGATATCTTTGACTATTAATTAATATAGTTGCAGATTGCAATATGCATTTATTTTATTTGTTTTTGCTTGTAACTTTTTTTGATTTGAGGAAAGTAATTTCCTTTCAAATAGATTGTGATCTTTTTCATTTTAAAATTATAATATAAGATTTTTATTACATTATTTAAAAATTTATAATAAATAATTTTTTCTAAATTTAAAATATTATAGATATTCCTCATTATCTTAATCCTTTGAACAAATACAACTTTTTTAAAGTGGCAAGCAACTTTATAAGAACAACTAAGGGTAAATTACAAACACATTGAGATTCGTTTAAGGGACAATCTATTGTCTTCTGTAATTATAAAAATTATAAATATTTTTTTATCAAAATTTTTTATTTAAGAATTAATTAAAAAAATAAAATTCATAATTGATTTATTATACAATAATAAAATTACTTAAATTATTAATTGAAATATTTTTCTAACATGATTTCGTGATTTATTAATAAAATGAATGATTTATTATGAAATTATAAATCTCAAAAGATAGAATGTAATTTTTAAAATTACAAAAAATAATTTATATTTTAATTAAACCTAAATAAATGTATTTATAATTTACCGAAGAACACTAAAAAAAGGCAGCTACTACATTTTTTTATTATAACAATAATAGAGAATTTTAAACTTTAAATTCTAAAAAAATTCTAATGATCTGACGTGTAAAAAAATAAAAAAAAATCAATAAAAAAAATCAAAATATCACATCAATAAAGTAAAAATCCACCCCTAAACCTCCTTTAGAGTACATGTTTCTATTGTATTCCTAAGAATGACAGAAAGGCTACCGACATGCACTCGTGACGTGTATATAATTTTAAATTTAATTTTTTATAATTTGATAAACAAAGAAGAAGATGAATGGAGTTTGTAAACTGTTAAAACCCACCTTTTTTTCTTCTGCTTTTCAGATCTCTTTCCACATTTATGAACTAAAAAATTGTGTCAAAACTTTAAAGTTAGGTTTGATTCATAATCCTAATAGTAAAATATTAATAATCTTAGGTCATGTTTGATTCACAAAATTAATAGTGAAGTATTAATAATCCTATTAAATTAGTGTGGTATTGACTATCCAATTGGATTAATATCCATTGGATTAATAATCCCATCCCCACCCCATTACTAATAATCCTACAAATTTGTTGGATTAATTATCCATTGGATTAATAATCCTAAACCAAAATGTTAAAACAAACATAGGATAATTGGGCCCACGAATTAATAATCCTAATCCCATGCTCTAATACACCCAATCAAACATGTCATTACTGTCCAATTAGATTAATATTCATTGGATTAATAATCCTACCCTTACTCTATTATTAATAATCTTACAAATAATAATAATCTTACAAATTTGATAGGATAATTAGGTCCACGGATTAATAATCACAATCTCATATTCTAATCACCCAATCAAACAAGCCGTAAAACTGTTTTGTGTGTTTTATGAAATATAATAGAGAGAGAGAGAGATTACCTGGTGGCCGAAGCAAATTCCTAGAACTTTTTTGTTGAAGGAATTCAATTTCTTGAGAAGAATCAAGAGATCACGGATCCAGAGATCGTCGCCATGGGCGTCGCTGAAGCTTCCGGTGATGACGAAGCCGTCGTAGGCTGCGATGTCGCCGTCGTCGGGGAAATCGCCGGCGGCGACGCGATACACGTCCCATGTCTCGCCTTCCTCCGCCAGCATTTGCACAAAAACCCCAAAATACCCTCCGTATTTCTTCTTCACGTAATCCGAGTCTTCTGCGCATAGCAGAACTGCAAATCTCTTCTTCCCATCATTTCCCATTCTCTCTCTCTATGTATGTATGTATATGTGTCTCTCTCTAGATTGGTGAGAGAGAGAGAGAGAGAGAGAGGGAGAGAGAGAGCTTGTTGTCTGCGTAAGGCGTCAATGGAAAATTGAAGGTGGAGTGACGAAAACTACAGCCGTGCTGTCTATAAACTGATGATGTTAGGGAATCGGTCATGTTTGTCGACGTTATTTACGAATGTGTCCCTGGATAAAAAATTTGTACAGCTGGCAATGTACATTTTTTTTTATTCAAATGGCAGTGTACATTTTAATTTTAAAAAATTACTCTAATAATGTCGAATCTTCGGTTGAAATAAACTTTTTAGTCTTGGAACCTGTTTGGTAGTGCTTAGTTTCAGTTTATTTTAATTTTTAGTTTAATTTAAGTTATTTTGATATATTTGATTCAGTTTAACAATACAGCTTATAATTTTTTGTAAGTCAAAAATCAACTTATTTTTTGAGTGGGGGAAGAGAAGCTTAATTTATAAGTCAAAAATCAGTTTATGTTCACAGTTATAAACTATAAGCTGTTAAGATATAAGCTACAGGCCCTGTTTGGTAGAGCTGTGGGAAAGTGCTTAACTTATGCCTAAACAGCTTATAGCTTATAACTATGAACATAAGCTGATTTCTGATTTATAAATTAAGCATCTCCTGCCCCACTCAAAGAATAAGCTGATTTCTAACTTCTAAAAGCTATAAGTTATAAGTTATAAGCTAAATCAAACACATCAAAATAGCTTGAATTAAGCTGAAAGCTGAAATAAGCAGCTTTTAAGCTGCACCAAACAGGCACATAATCACTTTCCCACAACTCTACCAAACGGAACCTTTGTCTTTTTAATGATTTGATTATTTTAATTTGATTAGAAAAGTTAGGTTTAAAATGATGATGAACTTTTTTTTTTGTGTTGATTTGATGATTGTGAAAGAAAAAATAAAATAATTATGATTTAAATGTGACTTTTTATCTTATTAGTTGAAATAACTGTTTTGTGTTTGTTTTACTAATTAAAAGTTTGGATAATTACAAAAAAAATCAGAAATTAGGAACCAAAAAAAAAAAAATCAATGGAAGAATTGATTTTAGAAACTATTTGAAACCCTTAAAAATTAGGGACAATTACATATGAGTGAAAACAAAATATATATATATATATATATATACTAGTGAAAGGGCCGCGTGCAAGGCACGCTAACTAATGGCCAGTTAGTGCCCATTACATTTGTGTATTTAAATGAGTTTTGAGCTATTGCATAAACACACAAAATTAGCAACTGAATCATGAATATAAGATCGACTCAACAATACAAAGTTTTTAACAAAAACTATTACTTATACAAAAATAAAAAATAAAAAAACCTATTACAAGATCTATTTTCCCAACAAAATTGTCATTACTAAAAATATGATGTAATAAAAATAAAGCAATTGTTTTCTCTATTTGACAAATGAACAAGTACTCAATCATCCTTAATGGCAAGACTTGAAATCCCTCATCAATTGTGAACCCACTTTTACTTGGTATATTATGAGTAAGATGAGCCAAACCATGCTTGTATGTAATGCTGTGAGACATACCACATCATCTCCTCCATGAACTGAATTTTCTATTAAATCCTCAGCCAGAGTTGCTCTGCATTATATTTGTTAGAAAGAAATATCTAGTTTTCATAATTTAGCATTTCAAATCAAATACCACCTTTTAGATCCCATCAACTCCTTCAATCTAAATGTATACCAAATGGATCAGGATCATGTGAATAATCAAACATGATCTGTTTGCAAAACTTTTATTCTACTTGCTTAAAGCATAAAAAAAAAAATTAAAAACAATAATAGAAAGGTTATCAGCCCTTCTTATTTAATAGTTTAATGGGGACAAAAAAAAAAAACACAATACAAACGTAGACCATAATAACTATTATCAAACATCCTTATTTGCATGGATTGGAGATAAGATAAGTAGCTAATCATCTACTTGAAAAGAAGGAAATGGAGAACTACAAGCAAATTCTTACGAGGGTTAGATTCAAATCATTGTGTTTTATGCAGTTCAAACGTAGTGCATGCATGCAAATTAAATCATTCAAAATTCAAAGAGAAAATTAATCAACAAGATGGTGCAAATTACATAGTGAGGGAATTTCACATCTAAAAGCTAGACCAAACCCACAAGCTTAGTTTTTTAAGCCTTTCATATTTGATAATTAGCTTTTGATAATAAGGTCTAGTTTGCTATTAGATGTTTTTAGCAACTTGCATTCACTAAATTAGATCACAGATGGTCATTCCACAACATTAGTTCTAGATTAACAAGAAGCAGAAGCAATGTTGGATTCTATCATAGTAGTGTTTTCTTTAATATTTGAAATAGATTTTGAGTGCATGAATGCAAGTGATGTTTTAGGTTAGGTTTAATGATCACACTGGACTACAAAGTACAGGTACAATAATTCCAATGATCTAATTAATCGGTTAGAACCTTTGCCTAAAAATAGATCTTTTACAACATGTGAAAGGAGTTTTTTCTATCCAATCGAAATTTTTTGACAAGTTCCAACTCTTCAGGGAAAATTTGAGTCTAAAGTTGGGGGATGGCAAGAATATTAATTTCTGGAAGGACAAATGGCTTGATGAGAGACCCTAGTTGCATAAACTTTCAGATAATAAGGATGGAAATGTGGCTAATCTTCTCCGCCCAGGTGATCATAATGGTTCTTCGCAACTTAATTTTAGAAGAGCTTTTTTTGTATAGGAAGAAGACGACTTTTCAAACCTGTTACCTTAATGTTGTGTTTGGAGCATGGATTTGGGTAAGGATTTGAAAAGGAAAAGGGAAAGGTGAGTGAAATGTAACTATATTTCATTCACATTTTATCTACATTTTCGCTTTTCTTTCCAAATCTCTACCTAAATTCACGATCAACACAGCCTAAGTGATAGATGTTCAGTCTTGAAACAAGATTATGGGTGTGCTCTGTTATGCTATGGGAAGCATTGTAGAAATCTTTTAAACATTGGAGTTTTTTTGGTTGAGTGCAGCAAGGATTTGGGAATTTTTTCCGCATCAATTGCTGCTGATGTTTTGTTTGCAATATTTGCTACTTGCGTTATTTGGCTTTGTTTTGGTTCTTGTTTGCTGTTGCTCCCAATTTTGATTGGGATTTGTTTCCTTTATTGTTGCTTTAGCCTTGGCCTTTTGTCTCCACTGACGTATTCATTTGTACACCTTGTACCTTTGTTTGACATCAATATATTTTATTTTTGCCGATTAAAAAAAAAATCTAGAAACTGCATAAGCTTCTTTTGCACTTCTAGTATCAGGAGGAAGGACAAGAAATAAATCTCACATTACTAATTTACTTTTATTAAAAACCATAGTTGTCAAATCGAGATTCGTATCGTGAATCGAAATGGTCTCGTACCGAATCGCGAATCGAATCGAATCGAATCGTGAATCGTAAAGATTCGGTCACTTTTTCTAAATCACTTAAAAATATATATCTAAACATTTAGATGTTAAATGTATCTTATGAATATAAAATATTTAGACTTAAATCAACAAAAATGTTATTTTGAATGATAATCACGTAATTTAATAAGTAAGAAATTAACAAACGTTCCTATGTAAGATCACCATCTTACATTTTTTTTTCTTTTTTAGATATTTCTTATCAACTATTCTTAATAAAAATAATAACCAAATAGACAAATTATCAATTTTTAAAAGTTTCTAAAGTAACAATAGTTAACAACGATATTGATATTTGGACAATAAGCATATATACTTTTCTAAGTAAGAGTGAGCAAATAATAAAAAAGAATTATTTAGGATATTTTATTTTAAAACCTAAAACATTTTAACAAGTATAACTGACCTCACACATGTAGTATTCAATTAAATAAAATAGTAATAGATAATTCATAGTATAACTCTAATCTTAAACATCTTTAGAAGATATATTATAATTTTTTGAAGGGGACAAAAATGAGAAGAAATGTTAAAAATATGTTAGGTCTGATTGAACCTGATTGGATCCTATAAAAAACTCCATGATCACTAAAATAATAACAAATAATATATATATGTTGGTTATTTTGGTATTAAATACTATTAGAAGTTGTATTATGTCAATTTCACTAAAAAGATGAAAAAAATGAGTCGAAAATATGTCGAACACAATAATTTCAAAAATTGCATGAATCGTGAAAAGTGAATCGAATCGTGAATCGATTGTGAATCGTGCGATTCACTAGAGATTCACTTCCAAAATAGATTCACTCATAGATTCGTATCGATTTTGCAAAAATTGCGTATCGAATCGCGAATCGTAAGATTCTGATAACAGAGTTAAAAACAAAGAAAAAGAATTATGAAATAAAAATGAAATAAAACAAGAAAAGTGAAAATGGTTGTTAGCAACAACACTTCCATTCAAACTGACAAAAGCAACAAAAGCCACCATATAATGCAAAGAATGTACATTTCAATAAGAGGTCTTTAATCTCATTAAATAAACAACCATGCAAAGTATGCAATGTCAAATGAATTGAGTATCAAATGTTGAATCATTTATCACAGAGAAGGTTCCTGCCCATTTTTGGCTCTTGTACATGAGAATAAATTTGCAAAAGAATTGAGATTAATATTGGATATTAAAGATGATAATTTGAAGAATTCTTTTCAAAATGAATTTTTTTAGTCTACTGGAAAAAAAAAATCTCAGACTTGTTCATAATAATAATTATGAATGAAGAATAGTGTATTCCTCTGTTATATGAACACCTAACATGCAAAAGGTAGTAATATTAAGCCTCAAGTTCAACTAAACAAACAACAAGGGAAATTGAAGGACTGTATTATATATATTGTTAGGAGACTTCACAATTGTTAACAAAAAATACACATTATCTACATACACAAATGAAAAAAAAAAAAATGAAGCAAGTAACAAAATCTACTAAAGATAATAGAGGAAATTATAAAACTTATTACAAACTCACATCACAAAGAATTATGAAACCACTAAATATGAAGCAAACCATTGGCCAAGACTCCAACGGCTATGTGTAGTTTTCCTCACATTTCTATTTAACCCTCCATAGTG